TAAAACTATGTATGTTAGATCCAAAAGTTACACTCTACATTGCATAGGAAATACATAGCAGTATGTAAAAGCTATGTTACCATTTTTCAAAGTTTTGTATTGTTACATAGTAAATAAATAGGATGTATTTACTATGTATGTTAGATCCAAAAGTTACACTCTACATTGCATAGGAAATACATAGCAGTATGTAAAAGCTATGTTACAACATTTCAGAGATTTTTATTGTTATATAGTAAATAAGTAGGATGTATTTACTATGTATGTCAAGATAAAAAATCAGCCCATGTAACACATAGGTAATAAATAGCTATTTAAAAACTATGTGAAGTTCTAAAATAGATTTTACATAGATGTTTAAAACCTATCAATTTTTTCAATAGATTTTTCATAGTAACAACATAACCTTTACATACCCTACACTATGTGGTTTGCATGCAAAATAGTATTTACATAGGCAGTCTCAAGCATTGCATAGGTAAAACATAGCTAAACATAGTAAAAACATACTATTAGCATAGGCTTTAAATATGTCTGAGAATCATAGGCAGCACGAGAGAAAATTGAATTGTTTACTTGAATTTATTCATGAGTGCTTCAGTGTACTTCGAAGCTATTGTGCTGACTCCTGATGCGTCGCTCATCGCGCAGTTCAACTAAACATAGGGATTTTCATATTTTGTGGAAATTATTTCGGAAACATCTATTTGATTATGAGTGCCCTTTTGTTGTTGTTTGTGATACACTTGCGTAGTCTCATTTTAAAAGAAAATATTAGCCTCATCTTCATGTTGTGGCATGATAAGAGTATATCCGATGATTCAAGTTCATCCCGGCACTGAGATTTTAGCGGAACACTTTCATAGAATTCCTTCTTCGGTTTTTGTCGCCCCGAAACAGATATCAGTTTCTTCTTGTTTGTCGATTGAGAAGGAATCTTTACTCCAGTTTTCCCTTTGGCATGTTTTAATGTTAGGTTTTGCATAACGATTGTAACAATTTAGGACAATTTTAATGCCTTGACAATGATTTTTTTTTTGTTATTTGTCACCAAAGGGTGATGAAAGCGCAACGGAAACTTCCGTTCGTTCCCCTTGAATTCGAGACTATTTCAGTGAGTTAATAAGTTGAAGACATTCGTTGATTTACCCTAGCTCTAGATCGTCCTTTATAGCTTTAAATAAGTGCGTCACAACATGAAAACCTTTAGTTTGTTGTTGTTTTACGGTTAGAAAGTTGTTTTGTGGACAGAAATGGGCCTCTGCAAGCCATTTAAATGACACATTTGCGTTTCCCAAAATTATTTTGTCCCCAAAGTTCGCTTAGGTTGAAAATGAGTTATTTACAAGGTAATTTTTTGAAACTATTTTATTAGCCTTGCGAATACTGAGCTCAAAAATTATTTAGAACAACTTTTTGCAGGCAACCAAAGTGATTTCGAAGAGAGGAAAAAATGACAGAGGTTAGTTAACGGCTTGGGGTCAGTCCCTCAGGTGAATAACTGTGATATCAGACCTAAAAATATTGCACTTTTCGAGGCTTCACTTTCCGGAGACCATAGAAAGTGGTAGATTATCTGGTGCATGCGACGGACTATTTTTAGGAATTAATGTGCGTTGTTGGGTTCCTTTTTTAATTCATTATCTTTTTATTTCATTTTGCAGTAAACACTCTCCCTGTAAACTATACTGTGGCTCGATGGCTGGTGCAGTAAATAGTTATTTTACCAAAAACGTCACTTTGCTGAGGTTTGACGATTGTCAAAGGAGTAATGGAAACATACTTATACCCACCACTATTACTCTGGCAAGAATAAGAAAAACAGCACAGTATCAACCAAATGTCCAGTTTTCTATAAACATGTCTGAGCAGACTGTGAAACAAACACTTGAGGCTGCGTTTCCAGACTTTGACTTGAATATAGGGTAAAAGAAGGCCTTTTTTTTAATGTCCTTAAAAGTATAAGAAATGGCGAGGTTGCGTTCTATTGGAACTGGGGGGAGATCCATTGGCTTGCACCCAAACTTCTGTCCCTTTTAATTGATCGACGATTAATTTCATTTGCAATATTTTCTGTCTGTACCTTTGATATAATACTTAGGTATCCTAAAATTACGCGCAATGTTTCTAGATTTAGGTCACAGAGTCGTGGACCTATTTTGAAAACAACAATAATTTCACGATAGCCGCACTTATTGTTTCTGCGCAATAATTCCTTACTTCAAGTGCATTTCACCTTAAGGAAAGCGGGCACACTAAAACCCTCTGAAAACGCAATGACCAACAAGAACTGCGCTTGGGAACTTTGGATTTGAAATCCTGAAATCACCTAGATCTTTTTCAGTTTTTTTTCCATCGGTATCACGTAACTTATTAGTATTTATTAAAAGTGATTTTAAGACTTTTTTTTGAATGAGCAGGTTCTCATGTGCAGGAATCAATAGTCAACGAAACACATTTAATTTGGATGGAAACAGTCGTATCTGGGATGGATTGACGATCAGAAGGAATCTAAAAGGCAATTCAGCTCTCTACATCGTTATGGATGAACCTCCACCTCCTCCAGCTGGTATGTATTGTGTTAACACATTTGTGTGTGTATGAGACGAATATGATGTGCATTTAAACTCGTTATTTTAATCTGAGCGACAGTATACGCACTTGGACTAAAAAGGCTCTTTCTGTCATGATTTAGACGCTGTGGAGTGGTTACGTAATAATCTTTACTATGAAGCTACAATAAAACCAGCGCAAAGTCCAATGCAGGTAAAACATCTTACCACTGTTTTTTTAAGATATGGTTACGGATCAGAACCCACAGTTAATCTCATAATTTTGCACCAAATCAGTTCCCGTCTACATTCTTTTTCAAACCTCAACTGCATTTAAATGGTGATCTTTATCTCAAAATCTTGATGTGTAACTGATTTCGTTGATTAGTATAAATAGAGCTAAGGTCTTAGGGAGTTATCTATTCGAAAATAGTACTGTTCACCTTCGCAAGTGTGATAGAATACGAGAGGTCCCTCTTCGCCGAAGTCCGTCGCTTGGGTGAAAAAAAAATCGGTGAAAAAAAACATTGATGATAGCACGCCGCGGGAAACTCTTGAAGTGAGGCGCTCGAGAAGTAGGGACTACAGACTCATAGACCTTTCGAACGCCTCACTCCAAGAGCTCCCTGTGGCGCGCTATCGTCAATTTTCTTCTCTGATTTTTGTTTACGCGCGCGACGGAACTCGCCAAAAAGGAGCGACTGCTCGAAGTGTAATATTTTTTTTTGTAGCTACTGTCTAATGCTTTGCGTGCATTTAGCCTGGGAGAAAGTAACCGTGTCGGATTTCTTCATGTCTCACCAGCCTTCACTTACTGATTGTTAAAATGATTTAACCATTCGCTATTTTCATATACCTGTAGGGTGGGGATCCTTTCAAGGTTACTTTTGTTCCAGTTCTTCAGGAAACGGTCACCTTAGGGTCTGCTATATTCAAAAAAAATAACCATAGTTTCGCCTCAGTTGAGCTGGAAAGATCCGCAAAGTTTGGTTACCTACACGGATCCAGCATTCCAGGTATTTCTCTCCTTTTATAAATGATAAACTTTAAATCTGGCATAACTATTATAAGGGCTAAGAAGAGAGAATAATTAAGTTGTGAATTATTTTTTTGATAGACTTTCTGACTCTCAATAACCCCGTCAAAACGCACGAGAAACCAATCAAAGCTTCTTACAGAAAATTAAAAACCATCAAGGACCAGAATGACCATATTAATAAAGGAAGAAATGAGGAAAACCGGATAGAAATGGTGGTATGCAAAATGTAGGCCAAAACTATAACTTGCTTCTGAAGAGTACTTCGTAGTTTGGACGAGAGAAAGGCGAACATTTGTCCTTATCAAGAAATGGTCCATCCCGGCGCAACTTTCCACAAAGCATCAAAGAAAAGTCCTTCAGGGACTTTTGCTGAAGCGATGCGGAAAATCTCGTAACTTACCATGCAAGATCTTCCCGCTTAATATTTTCTTGCTCAATATTTTCCTGCTGCAAAGAATCCCATACAAACAATCAAAATACATCAAAAAGAAGGATCTTAACCTTTTCTTACAAAAAACAACACTCCCGCTGCTCTCTTAGAAGCCATTAAGTCACGTATACAAGTTAAATGACATGATATATGACTATATTAACTTCTTATTAACCAAACGTGAGGGCCGTAATTAGGAGTACTGGTCCAGGGTCATGGGGAGGTCTCTCCGAAAAAAAACGACTGAGGCCCAACATTTCCCAGCAGTATATGGCAAGGTAATCCTGACGTAAGTCGGAGTGTTCTAATTGGTTCTTACTTGGTCTGTATTGTAAACTATATTGCCAAACAGGCCGTCGATTTCCACTTGATAGGCAGAGTTCTCAATTCAAGAATTAGAGAGATGATATAATCAAGGTGATCTGCTCAACTAATTGTTAATGCTGATGCTTTAGATTTCAGCAGATAGAAACAACTTGATATTTGAGTTGATTGACGAGTATCAAGAAAAAGTATCAAAGAAAAAGTAGAAAACAACAGAAATCTTTTGATAATAACTTTCCTAGTTTTCTTTAGCTGCACAAGAACCTGGTTGGGCCGATGTAGAAATTGAATCAGATCGAGGGATTCTACTGGGGAGAACAAGAATCTTTTATTATCCAGACGAGAGGCAGGTAGTTGTGATGGTCCAACAACCAAGCGTGTTCAGAAATTTTTGTGAAAATATGAACAGGAACTC